ATAATAATAATAATAATAAATAGCATTTAATGCTGCGCATTTCCATTTTAAAAAATGCTCAATGCTCATTACATTAACAAAAAATGTCGCACTTTAATGCAGAAATGACTTTAGCTGACGAATGACTGTTTGTGATAATAATAGCCCGTCTGTCGACGTCTGGTGATGACTGATCTGTCTGCAGAAGAGAAAATTTCTTTAAGAGAAATATCATAAGAAAAAATCAGGATTAAGATGATGTATGGCTTCTGCTAGGATCGATACAAGCAATTCAAGCGGAGAAGAGTTCGCCACATTGTGAACATTTAAATGCTTCATTTCCATAATTTGTGGATGTGTGCAACTTGCTGGCTTCTCTCTTGGCTTCAGTATTAAAATTTATGTCTATGATATCATTATGAGCATTTAAAAGTGAGATGTCCAATTTGACACTAAATCGACAGGAACAAGCTAACCAGCTAACCAAAAAAAAAAAGAATATTAAGAAAGTATCAGATTACTGTGCTCTTTGAAACTTCACGGTGACATTAAAGATGGTTTCAGTAGGGAACGGGATAGAGGGTGCCCACGTCCCTCGTAACTCATTGGAGAAGAGGAAGATAGGACTAACGCTTACATTACTTAAACGCAATCCCACATCAACACTCATCACTGCCATTATTTCTAAAAATCATCATTGCTCTCAGATCAATGACTTACATCTATAATCCTTGAATCTCTATCTGTAACAGTTACTTGTCATACTAGGTATGTGCGTAATACAATAATGGACACTATTAGTATTACGCGAACTTTTTTGTAGGCCTACTAATCAGATAATGGCACAAATCTCATAAATACGCAAGATGTCTGTGCTCTCCAACTTCATAAAAACAAAGGAGAGAATTGTGCGTGGGGCGTGTCAACAAACACTCATATTGCTGTAACAGACGCACCTGGTGATGTTGTCGCAGTCTGAAGATACCCCCCACCCCCACCCCACCCCACCCCACCCCAAAAAAATATTAATGTATGATTGCTGCGACCATCAGTTAGAAAAACATTTTAATTCAAAATGTACATGTATGAATACCATTGGCCAGCTGTTGAAACGTAACATTTTTCAGGAGAAATAAACAACCTGTTCCTCCATTCTTTCAACAATCCTGCCAACATTTATGTTTCTTTCTCTGGCTTTTTTTTTCAACATTTGGAATTTGAATTTTGGCAAAATATTCCCTGAGTATGTGTGACTGATACCACACTTGAAAAAACTGGGAAAAAAAAAAGAAAAGAAAAAAATATATAAATTATAAAAATATATAAACTTGGCTTTAGATCTAGTACATCTGAATATCTGACTAACGATATGATACTAAGAGTAGCCTAATATTGCCTTCCAAAAACTTGCACTGGACTGAGAACCAGGAAGTCAGATCACAAAATGTAAATAAAACGTCTCCACATTTCTTGTGCTTTTTCCGTCAGCTCTGATTGTGTCAACTGCAAAAACTTTTAGAGAAAAACTGAAAATGAAAAAAATACACAGCTTGAGAAAAGTAACTGTTACTTGTTATGTGATATTATTGTGATATAATGTTGATTTTACAGAACTAGTTTTTCTTCGAATTTAGGAATTGTCTCTCTCTGTATACTTTATACTAGATCTACTCGATGTTTAGTCTTTACAGTCTACATTGTATACATGTGCCGGTAGGCCTATGGCAGGTTCAAAATCCTGGGTTCGTCTTTAGACAGACTGCCAGCTCAGAGTTACACGTTACAGTTGTGGCAGATCCGTCGCAGACACAGCCCGAGAGTTACACAAAAAGTAACGACGTCACAGTTGTGGCAGCGCAGCAGAGTTCAATCTTGTCTTTCCTGCCAATTCC